GTCGTTTATGGAGTGAACCAGCAGATGGAAGTTCTCTCTCTCTCTCCCCCCATCTCCTTCTTTCTCTCTGTTATTCTGCCTTTCTAACAAATAAAAAAAGAAAAATAAAAAATGAGAGGTAAAAAAAAAAAAACCACACACACACACTTGTCATCATGACCAGAAATGCGTCTACAGAGCAGGTGTTCTTACCCTGCAGCTGTTGACGGTCTTCATGTACAGAAGCACCTGGAATTATGTACTGAAATGCTAACTCATCCAGACTGTTGTCATGCCCTGAAGGAATCCTTCTGTGATGCCCACCTTCCCCCACCCCCATGTCCTCCAAATAAAGCCATTTCCTTCTGTCCCGTGGAGTCAGAGGGTTGGTACTTTCCCTTGGCAGCACATTTCCCTGTTTGTAGTAAAAAGCCTACCAGTCTGACAAGTTGCGTTGCCCCTGATTCACTCAAAGATTGCAGAGTCCATAATAGAGAACTGGATTTCATCATTTCATCCCCAGCATGGCATTGCTTTCACATCAACACTCAAACAGAGTTAGATGCCTGAATCAATACTCAAGCAATCATGCATAGGTTGGTTTATATGAGGACCATTTCACACAAAAGTGTTTTACAAACAAAACAAAACAAAACAAAACTCTTAGTAATGAATTTCAATATTGGCTTCTGGCACAAAGGATTCAGGCAGTGACATGGACTGAGTCAAGGGTCCGCATCTGACCTCTCACTGATATAACCTGGTTTTCAACACATTCTTGATCTTATTTCTTTTCAAAATGAAATCATTTCATACAGCAACTTTCCACAACTTGATCTGGGATAAAAGATAATAGTGAGGCAATATTTAGTGAGTCTTAGCATTTCCACTATAATTTTCTCCTTTACTCTTTCTCGACAGAAACAAAAACAAAAACTCTTTTCTGTGACCGCCCTCAGTTGCTGCCAAGTCGGCACCAGCATCCCATATGGGCCCAGATTCAAGCCCAGGTGCTCCACTTCCAATCCAGCTCCCTGCTACTGTGCCTGAGACCAAGCAGTGGAAGATGGTCCAAGTCTTTGGATACTTGCACCCATGTAGCAGACCTTGAAGAAGCTCGTGGCTTCAAACCAGCCCAGCTTTAGCCATTGTGGCCATCTGAGGAATGAACCGGTGGATGCAAGATTTCTCTCCTTAAACTGCCTTTCAAATAAAATTTAAACAAATATTTAAAAAATTTTAAAAGGGCCATGGGTATAATCCTCTCATACAAAAAAATGCTACATTAGTGAATTAAAATGAATTACTCACCTAGAGCCATTCCTGGATCCATGGGTACCCTAGGCTGACGTCAGCATCATAAACCCTTCCCAAATACTGCTTACTCACTAGAGTGCCTTTCCCTTCTCTCATTTGCACATAGCACATCTGCCATGTTTAGCTATTAAAAAGAAATTTTAAATATGTTGTAAAACTTAAGGAGAGGGCCTGGCGCGATAGCGTAGTGGCTAAAGTCCTTGCCTTGCACATGCCAGGATCCCATATGGTTGCCGGTTCTAATCCTGGCAACCCTGCTTTCCATCCAGCTCCCTGCTTGTGGCCTGGGAAAGCAGTTGAGGATGGCCCAAAGCTTTGAGACTCTGCACCCACGTGGGAGACCCAAAAGAGCTCCTGGCTCCTGGCTTTGGATTGGCTCAGCTCCAGCCATTGCAGTCACTTGGGGAGTGAACCATCAGATGGAAGATCTTCCTCTCTGTCTCTCTTCCTCTCTGTATATCTGCCTTTCCAATAAAAATAAAATAAATCTTAAAAAGAAAAAAAAAAACTTCAGGAGAAAAAAAAGCCAGAGAAGCAAAGAAGAAAAATGGTATTCATTGGTGGTGAGAAAATTCAGACTCTATTTTCCCTATCCTCTACATTCTGATACAGATGCAGAAGATTACAAAAGCAGTAATAGTAATGTGAGGGATTATAATTGCCATTATGAGCTATGAGGCATACTACTTGGGTGTCATGCTTGAATATGCATATAACACATTTCGGTTGTTGAGACGACTCAGTAGTCACTGTTTACCCCCATTTAAGACACCAGGAAAATAAGGTAGAAAGGATTTAATAGACCTGTAAACACACATTACAAGAAATGTAGAAGATCTGTATATTTAAAACTTAAACACACTGCCAAATCCAAAACAAATCCAAATAATAATCATGATAATGATGATAATAGTGATGGGTGGACAAGTTCACAAACAAGTAGACACAGCATCATGGAGACACATATTTCCTTATGTTAAATTACAAATGTATAGAATCTCAATTCATTTTCTTTTCTTTTTTTAAAGATTTATTTATTTTTATTGCAAAATCAGAGATACAGAGAGGAGGAGAGACAGAAGAAGATCTTCCATCTGATGGGTCACTCCCCAAGCAGCCGCAATGGCTGTAGCTGAGCCGATCCAAAGCCAGGAGCCAGGAGCTCTTCTGGGTCTCCCAAGTGGGGACAGGGTCCAAGGCTTTGGGCCACCTTCGACTGCTTTCCCTGGCCACAAGCAGGGAGCTGGACGGAAGATGAAGTAGTCATGACACAAACCGTGCCCATTGAGCCATTGCACTGGGCCCTAAAATTAATATTTTTAAGAATTGAAGAAAAAAACAACATTGTGAAGATAAACAGTCTTCTGAAAAACAATTTATCAATATGTAATACTTTAGGTCAAAATAATTCTGGAAAGGTGAACTATTAGATGAAAAACTGAGAGCATGAAATTATTTACCTAAAACAAGAGAATCAAGAGAATTTTTTTATGATATAAAAGCAAGGAATGCCTTCTAATTATGAGCTCCTGGTTCCTGGCACTAGTCTAATGCAGCGCTATAACTCTGTAACTCTTTCAATTAAAATAAAGCTTATAAAACCAAAAGCAAAGTCCCAGAGTAATAGCCTAGTGGCTAAATCCTTGCCTTGCAACCACTGGGATCCCATTTGGGCGTCAGTTCGTATCCCAGTTGCTCCATGTCTCATCCAGCTCCCTGTTATGGCCTGGGAAAGCAGTGGAGAATGGCTCAAAGACTTGGGATCCTGCACCTCCATGGGAGACCCAGAAGTTTCTGGCTCCTGGCTTCAGCTCCATCCATTGTGACCACTTGGGAAGTGAACCTGTGAACAGAAGATCTTTCTCTCTGTTCTCTATGGAAATCTGAGTTTCTGATAAAATAAATATAAATCTTTAAAAAAAAAAAAGTAAAGGCAAGCAAACAAAAATGCCAAGGTGAGGCATAGGAGAGGATGCAGATCAGAGGCAGCACGCAGGAGTTCTGTGTGGAGGAGATGGTTCTGCCTCGTGATTGTAGTTACACGCATCTGTACACGGCATAACGCTGCATAGAACACACGCGATCACAACTTTAAGATGGAAGTGAATGATGAAGAAGGCCTGTAGACTCGTTAGAAGTAATGTGCTAACATTAACTACCTGGTTTTGATATTGTATTATAGCCATACCACATCACCACTGGAGGAAATGAGAAAAGGGCGGGTAGGACTCTCTATATTTTCACAACTTCACATGAGTCAATCGTTACTTCGCAATAAAAGAGTTTATGATTGATGTTTCAGTCGAGAACATTCTAATTAAAAACACAAGAAGCAAAGTGTTTTGTTGCTCATATCACAAACTAAATTCTTTAAGATAGAAAGAACTTACAAACCAATGAGGAAGAGGTAAACGTATGTGCCTATTTACAGATACAAACTATTGACAGAAAAAATGCAGTCTTTAATCATACAAAAAGTCATGAGAATTACAACCACATCTAACCAGTATGCTTCACTTAAGATAGGCAAAAAATAAAATAAAATAAAATAAAAGCATGAAAACATGCATTCATATAAATTGTTGATAGGAAAGTAAATTGATGCCAAAATATGAAGGACACTATCTATGAAAACTAGAAATCCACATGCCGCTTGATTCCATTCTGTGGAATTTACCATATAATGTGTTTGTATAAGTGTATAATCTTATCAATGCATTATTTATATTTTCATAATAGTAGGAGACAGACAGTCATTTAAATATCTGCCAACAGATGACTAATTCCAGAAATTGTGAAAGATGACATTGTGGTGCAATAGCAAATGTGAGGCAGGCATCCCAATCAGAGCATTGCTTTGAATCCAGTTGTCTTGTTTCTGATGCAGCTCCCTTCTAATGCCCCTGGAAAGCACAAGAAAATTACCCAAGCACTTGGTCTCCTGCCGCCTATGATGGGGAGTAGGATGAAGCTCTCAGCTCCTGGCTTCAGTCTAGTCCGACCCTGACTGCTGTGACTGCCTGGCGAGAAAACCTTTGTTTCTTTGTCTCTCCCTTTCTTTCTGTCCCTCTACCTTTCAAATAATCAGGTGAATAAATCTTGTTTTTTCAAATATTTATTTTTTTGTGGGGATGTCTGTTTGCTATTAGAAAGGCAGATATACAGAGAGAAGAAGATAGAAGGAGCTTACATCTACTGGTTCACTCCCCAAGTGACTGCAACAGCCAGAGCTGGGCCAATCTGAAGCTAGGAGCCAGGAACTTCTTCCGGGCCTCCCACACGGGTGCAGAATCCCAAGGCTTTGGGCCGTCCTTGGCTGCTTTCCCAGGCCACAAGCAAGGAGCTAAATGAGAAATGGAGCATCCAGGATACAAACTGGTGCCCACATGGGATCCTGACAGAGGCAAGGCAAGGATTTAGCCACTAAGCTATCACGTCAGGCTCAAATTAGTCTTCTAAAAATACATTTTTCAAAGAACAGACACAAGATTGGTAAGAATGTCCCACAGGTAGGAGGCAAATTTTTTAACATATACTCTTAAATACATTTCTGAACATTAATCATTACCATTTTTTAAATTAATGATTAATGTGTAGTTACAATTAATGAACACACATTTATTTGACATTATATCATCTAACCAACAGGGATATTATTTTCACTTTCAGAGATTAAAATTTCTCCCGATCAGGAGTACAGTTGTGTGCTCGCTTCGGCAGCACATATATTAAAATTGGAACGATACAGAGAAGATTAGCATGGCCCCTGTGCAAGGAGTGCAGTTACAACCTACTCTACAAAGTTTCTACACTGACGCTTTAACTTTATAGCAAAGTCTTTCATGTTGCCTTACAGACATCATCTCTAAATAAAATTTGTTTTCTGAGATCACTTCTAAAATACTTACGTAGTAACTGAATCAGGTTGTTTTTAAAGCAATAGTTACGCATGAAACAATAGAATGATTCTCAAAAAAAAAAAAAAAAACTTAAAATGATTCTTAGACACAAGCTAAATGAAATTCTTGAGTCTATTTTCCAGAATAAAAGCACATGCTTATTCAGTACAGATGTGGCTTTGTGGCATTTGCCCGAGGCGAGGGACGAAGGCCCCTAAACAACTGGAAAAAATAGAAAGTTATAGTGCATCCTTTTCTAAAAGAATAATAAGCATAGAAAAACTCTGCCACTAAAAACTCCAGAGAGAACAAAATATAGGGCAAAACTATGAGAATATTAATGAAGACAGAGATGGGTTGTGTCAGGAAACTCTTCGTAATGTGAATAAACTTAAAATCCAATTATCCAAGTTTGGGAAGAGAAAAGGAATCTTCTAGCCCTCGCTCCTGCCAGCCACAACTGCCTGTCCCTTGGGGTTCCCACGTGGCCTTGACTTTCCCCAAGATGATCATTGCTGCCACATCCATGTATAAGGCCAGTTGTAGACACAAACATTTCCTCTTAACTCCTCAGTAGGCAGTTAAGTGGCATGGCAGTGACCTTAAAGGGTATACAAAGAGCAGTGCCAAATTTTATCTTTTAAACTTTCAGATCACATTGACTCTGAGACTCATAAAGCTCTATTGTAGCAGTATTCTAAGAAAGTATGTCAGAATTCCTAGGTTTTCTTCTCTCCTCTTTCCCAGAGGAAATACCCCACAGCATGTCCATAATTCAGCTGCCTATGAAGGCATTTCCACGTAGGTGAGCCATCATTCTGTTTTCTTCCTCGGTATAAGGCGACACTGCCACTTGAGCTACCCAGAAGCCCCTGGCCAATGAAAGTAGATGTCTTATCACATTACGGAGCTTGAGATTGCTAGAAATGAGGATAAAGGGATGGAAAAATATGCAGAGGTAAAGGATAATTTGCCATGGCCAGTACCACTCACTCTCTAAGGGGAAAAAGAACGTATCATCAATGACCAGGCACATGAAAGACAGAATATAAAGAGTGAGGAAAGAAAGGAGGGACCTCAGAGCTCTGCTGTGAGCCTGGCTGCTCGAGTCTTGCTGGCTGTGGCCGTTGAGCTTCATTCTGCAGGTGTGCCTCCTTAGAGAACTGATCAACAGCAGAATCGAGAGCAGGAAAACAGAGAAAGGAGTTGAGAGCGAGACAAGTTTCACAGGCAGGAGAAAATGAAAAATTATCTTCCTTCTCCACTCCTTGTAGGTGATATTCCCAGAATATTTCTTAAGTATGAGTCCTTGATGCAGGATATGGTTTCCCCAAAACAACAGTAGAGTTGTGATGAAGGCCATCAGGACAAAGCTGAGCAGGAACCAGGCCACCAACCGTGGGAGCCTCCACTTCAACCACAGGAAGGTTGGGTGGGAGAAGTTAGCGATCTTCACACAGAACAGGACACTGAGCCAGGTGCCAAACCAGAAAGCGGCTACACTCAGGAAGTGCCAGTACAGATGGAAGAACTTATGGGCAACACCTCTGAAGTACTTCTCCTGGTAGAGGTAGGAATAGAAGTTGTCCCCCAGCCCCACACACTGCAGACAGCAGCGGGAGGCACTCAGGCTGATGAGAATCTTGTCTGAGGGAAGCAGCCTACCGTGTCTCAGCCATTCCCTGCTCAGCACGAGCACAATGAAGCTGTTGCCCAGGATTCCCAGGACAGACAGCAGGACAAAGAGCAGCATGAAGGAGAAGGACAGTGCTGGCTGCATTTCAATCCTGCCTCCAGTCACCACCAACTGCCTTGATCCCTGACCTCCTCCTTTCCCTCATTCATAGTCCCTCTTCCGATCTTTTCAAAAGTGTGGAAGGTTGGTGAGGCTCTGCACCTGAGCTAGAGCTCACTTAGGGGAAGCTGCCTTGGGAGAGGAGAAAAGTGGCGCTCTCAGCTCAGAAAGGATGCAAATTTTCTCTGAGATCAGTTATCACTGGCCTACCAAATGCTCCTTAATTTGCCTTTCCTCATTTTGCCTACATGATGCCATGCTTTGCATAAGTGTACAGGACTTTTCAGGGTCTCTGTGACCGAGTCTAATGCCTGGCTCCTCACAGAGCACTCCTTCCCCCATCATATTATTCTCAAGACTTCAAAAACAGAGGTAGGCTTTTAGCCTGGTGTTTAAAACACTTGTTAAGATGCTCACAACTCCAGTTGGAATGCCTATGCTCCATTTCTGGCTCAGGCTTCTGAATCTAGTAGCTTCCTGGCATTACAGGCATACTTGGAAGCTACAGTGATGGTTCAAGTAATTGAGTTCCATGCCATGTTGGAAACCCAGATTGACTTCCGAGCTCCCAGTTCCAGTCTTAGCACAACCCCAGCTGCAGGAGGCATTTAGAAATGAGGCAGTGGATGCAAACATGATCTCTCCTTTCCTCTCCACTCCTCTCCCTTCTCTCTCCCTGCTCTTTTCTCCATATATTTCAAATAAGTAAATACTTTCAATACACAGACCATATGAGGCATGTGTTGTTGTATGTTAAGTCCCACTTGGGACATCTGCATCCCATATTACAGTGCCTGGGATCACGTCCTGCCTCTGTTCCAACCCGGAATCCTGCTAATGCTCCTAAGACCAAAAAACAATCCTCAATCCTATAATTGGGGAAGTGGATTCTTCCAATAATCCACATTCTAGGAAAACAAACAAACACAAAAAACCTTGAGTCCCTGAGGAATCAAAATCGCAGCCAGCATGTTACTTCTGTTTTGAAGAGTCCCTATAAGCCTTCCATCCTCGCAGGGCCTGGACTGTTGGCCTTCAGAAATGGAGAGAGGTGTTACTCAAGCCATTAAGCTTTGGGTCATTTTTAATGTAGCAATAGAAAATCAATAAAATCTCAGGCTCTCTAATGCCTGATGTACTGAATTTCTTAGTTATAAAAGATGCTACAAATGTGTATTGGTTGCCTCTGTGTGATCCCTCAATGTTCAGGAAAAAATTGGAGTAAGCTCAGCAAATATTTGTGTTACTTCAACGTTAAATAAGACATTGAAAAGACATATCATAATGTGGAAGTCACGTCCACACCTGGATTCTAATTACACTTAGGAACCGCCTACCCTGTCTGCCAAGCTCAGTGTTAGGAAGTTCAATCACATTTCATTCTCGCAACAATGAGATAGGGGTGATCATGATTACATGATAAGAACACTTACTCATGATCAAAGAGTGTTATTTATTTTTATAATTTCTGTGTGTTTGTTTTGATTTTATTTGAGAGGCAGAGACACAGAGAGGAGTCTTTCATTTTCTGGATCACTCTCCAAACTTCTGTCACACACAGAAGATTACTCACTCCACCCAGGTCTGCCATAGGGAGACAGGGCCACAAGTACTTAAACAATCATCTACTACCTCCGAGGAAGTTCACGGGCAGGGACCTGGAGCAGGGGAGGAGGAGCTGAGACACCAACCTGGCTTTGGGGTCTCAAGCAGCATCTTCACCAAGGCACTAAGTCTTGTTTCACAAAGAGTTTAGGTGGTTTTTTTCAAGGTCACTGGAGGAAACTTTTCTGACTAGAATTAGGTTTTTCTCATTCTGAGCCCTATGCTCTGTCGTCTACCCTACTTGACCATCAAGTCTACCACCAGGGCACGTGTTTGAGAGTTACTGGATGGAAAAGGTGAGAGTTAGACCCAGAGAGTGCTTAACGGAGATTGGATGTGATGTGCCCCACAAAAAGTTTATGCAATAGTTATAGTTAGCTTGGTTCTCTGAGTGACAGTTTGGAGGGGATACATTTTAACAGTTGGAAAGTAATGGAAGGTAATTAGGCCTTAGAGATTCGAACTTGATGCCTGTATCATGGAAACAAATCAGAACCACGAGGAGGAAGGATTAGTTCCATCAAGTGCCGGTTGTTATAAAAAGAGCAAGCCTGGCCCCTCCCCATCTATTGTTTCCTTATACACACATCACCTTCTCTGTGTTACCATTTTTTTTTCTCTTCTCCACCATGTTTTGATGCAGCCAGGGAGCTCTCACGATGTTTGAACCCAACAACATTCAGAATCATAACTCAAACAAGCCTCTTTTTAAGTTATCTCGCCTGAAGTGTGTTGCTATAGCAACACAAAACAGACTGACAAAGAGAAACAACTGAAACTGTGAAAAATAGCAATAAAGTCATTCCAAGGTGACACAGTGAGTCAGTATATGCCTGACATCGTCTTAGATACATATTTATTTATGGTAGTTAAGAATAGTAAACACAGGCCTGGTGCAGTAGTCGAGTGGCTAAAGTCCTCGCCTTGCACGCACCAGGATCCCATATGGGCACCGGTTCAGGTCCCAACAGCTCCACTTCCTATCCAGCTCCCTGTTTGTGGCCTGGGTAAGCAACAGAGGATGGCCCAAAGCCTTGGGACCCTACATCCATGTGGGAGACCTGGAAGAAGCTCCTGGCTCCTGGCTTCAGACGGGCTCAGCTCCAGTTATTGCGGTCACTTGGTGCGTGAACCAGCAGATGGAAGATGTCCCTCTCTGTCTTTTCTCCTCTCTGTATATCTGACTTTGCAATAAAAATAGGTAAATCTTTTTAAAAAGGAATAGTAAACACAACCTTAACATACATGAAATCATGCATCTTGGATACAATGTTATCATGCACAATAATATTGTCTAAGAACTTTGGTTAGGGTTGACCCATGGTTACTCTTAGAGGTCAGGACAAACATGCTTACAGCAACTCCATCACTATCTAATTTTCAACTCACTAAACAACAATGCACACATTTTGCCTGAAATAAAGTCTTTGGGCTCTGCCCCTGGGCAGACTGTCCTGGGAGTTTTAAGAGTGGAAAGCACCACAGTGAAGCAACTCTGAGACAGACTCACCAAATGTACTTTATCCTGGCTTGTTGACAACTGTTGTAAGAGCCAAATGCAGTTGTACTCGGTAAACTAATTGGATCCAATGTTTTTACCTCTAACTAAGTCTTATAGGTTTTTTTTTTTCAGATTCTACAACAGACTTTCATATATTTCTGTGTCCTGAAAGCCTGCCATTTGGGAAAATGATGATTCTTTATGTGAAATTATAAAAATTATTTTGCTCATTATTCACCCTTTTATATTTTTAGCACCTTTTCATTCATTTCTGTTTTCCAAAGTCTCTTTTCATACATAATAATAAAATAATGAATAAAAATAATGAATCATATTGAGGTTACTTTGGTCTAAATATGTCACCTAAAAATCGCACTTTGAAACTTAGTCACCAATGTGAATGTGTTCAGAGATGAAGGCCTCTGAAGAGGGAGAAGAAGATGAAGGAGGCAGAGAAGGGGGTCTACAGCGAAATGTCAAGTGCAGCAGATAAAAATGTTCAGTCCTCGTATGTATTGAGAGAATTAGTGTTGGGAGGACATACGGACAATTGACTAGCCTACTATAAATTCTCATATTCTGATCTCTCAGGATTCCCTAAGTTAGTGCAAACTATTCACAAATATCAAGTCAAAACAAAACAGAGGGCTCCTCTTTGAGGTTTTGATACTTTCATTTCTTAGGGTTGTGTTAGTACCAAGACTGCACAAGCAGACAGTCAGGAGAAACAAGAATGGAAAAGAGGCAAGTCCATAAAGTGTGATGACGCAAAAAGCAAGTACAAGACCAACACCGCAAGTCAAAGGTTCAATCACAAGGTACGACAGACTGGAGGCAGCAGAGGCCTCCCTGGGAAGCCAGCTCACTTTCCAGGTTGGCTACAACAACCTAACCAGAGTACAAGTCCAAAGTTTAAACTAAGCAAAGAAATGTGAATTGAAATGTAGATAAACAGAGAAAATTATCTCAGTCATTTGGTTTTTTCTTTTTCCCCCGGTCAGCTTTCTGTTGATTATTGGACAGGCACTGGCCACCCCAAAGTTCTGTTGTTTCAGAGTCCTTCTTGATATGAGAGAATCAGAGTTCCTGGAGTATGTTCCTCCAGGAACTAGGTCCTGTAAACCTATCCTGTGAGTGCTCACCAATAACTACAGCAAAAACATTCAGCTGCCTTGGGGACTGTTCTGGAGATCTGGAATGTTAGTTCACACTCTGCTGAACACAGCCACTCCCCAGGCAAGACCCAGGAGGAGCTTCTCCATGCAGCAGGAAGCCACTGGCCTCAACAAGGAAGGGCCCAGTCCCTTCTGTCATTGAGGGGCAGAAATTCACCTTGCCTTCAAAAGCAGTTACACTTTAGTTCTGACGTCAAAGGTCTAAGAACCTGATGACACAGGAATAATTTCCTATTCAAAGCTCTCATCACCTTGAGCAAAGTAGAGATGAATGGTATTGTGTAAATACTGTATCTTAGGCAGCTTATTTGACCACTTCTGAGGAATGGTTTACTGGAAAAATAATAAAACCCTTCAAAAGGGTCTGCTCTGCCATAGGTCCCTGACTTTCCAGCTCTGAGTTCCCATTACTGTCCTCCCGTCAACATATTATTTGTAATTGAAAGTCAGCTCAGCTTCCTAAAATTCAAAGTTCATCCAGGAGCCCACTGCTGAAGCTCTGCTTCACAAGCTTCTGTATGTCACTAAAGCCAACCACCTACACCAGTGAGTGCTATACTGGTCACAAGCCTCCGACCCTGGCCAACTCCAGAAGCAGCCGCTAGGACCCACATCCTGGCTCACTCTGCCCTGCAACGCCGGTCAGTTTTGCAAGTTTCAGAGGATACACACACACACACACACCACTTCTGCTGCCTAAGGAC